TAGTTGTGGTGGACCATGTGGATTGGAGTAGGATGGAAGTGGGGGGAAGCACTTTGGGCCCTGGCTTGCTTGCCCGCCGGCGTGCTGCGAATATTTTGTATTGATTGCGCTCAGTTTCAGTCCTCTTTTTGGGGCCACGAGAAGTATGGCTTGGGAGGGAGAGGGAGCAGATGGAATCAATTGTCCGACCAAAAGAGCACAGGGAGATCTAATTCCCCGTCACTGGAGCTTCGTTCAAGCGGAAGCACAGTCTGCAGACTTGCACACGCCGTGGGTGTAAGCCAGGCGGCTGTACAGTACGTACCCACCAGCCATCATGCATGGCTAGAAAAGAAGGGGAAAGGAAAGGCAACACCAGACAGATAAAAGCGACTCTCATCTCCGCGCGCGTCCCTTCTCCTCGTCATGCATCTTCGCGAAACCCAAGCTGCGCAATAGACACACACTTGCCTTGCCCACGTTCCGATCTAGATCTTCCTACTATCAAAAAGCACCTATTTCAAGACAACAATGCGCAGCAGCGCGCGCGAAACTTTGTAAATCAATTTGTTTGCAGCAATATGAGGTCGCGCGTTTCGTCGATTGAATTACCTACCTAAATGTCCGTACGTTGGTTCGTCCGTCCGCGTGACATTCCTCCTCTTTCTTCTGCTCACCTAAGTCTGCCTGTGATGAACAGGAAAGAGCCGAGTGGAGTGTGAACCGGGTCACTCGCCCTTGTCGCATCGCTCTATTTGTGCGTGCGTGCGTGCGTGCCAGCCAACGAAGCGGCCTAGCTGCTTGCTGCGAGCACCTGTTGTTCCCCATCGCTGTTCCTTCCCTACCAGGTACTTGAATCGTCCGAGTCGTTGGGTCCGCCCCGAGCCTTGTGTGACGCCATGATGAAAACGCAAAACCAGCCTTCCTAACCGCCCATCCTAGGTCTCCGTGCCAGACCACTCTGGAGAGGTACCCACCCCCTTCCGTCAAACCCAACCACCCAGAGAGAAAACCAGAGCCAAGACCGTATGTACGCCGTTGTCGTGATAAAACGTAGAGATTGAGCTTGAAGAGACAGCATCATCAGTACGCCAGGTCGGTGCCACTCGACCTGGCTCTGTCCTCGCGTGAGCGCTCCCTGCTGGTAGACCCGCTGCCATGACCTCCAGCACTGCTACCACCAGCACCGCTGCCGCCCCACTGCCACGGCATCCACCCGCCGCTCGCGGTCCGCTGGCCCATCTTACCCAGATGCTGCTGTTGTCCGTGGCTGTGGTCCTCACCCAGAGCCTCGTCATACTCGACGCGATCAAACTCCAATTCGCTCTTGCTCTTGGACAGGAACCCCTCGCCGCTGTCGCGGAATTCGCCCGGCGTCCGGTTCTCACTGGTGCTGGTCGACAGGTGGTCGGCCTCGCGGTCAAACGCCTGCATCAACATGCGCAGCTGGTCGCGTTTGGACGAAATGTACGAGAGGCGCTCCTCGGGCGAGCTGCGCGACAGCTCCTCAGGGATCAGCGCCTCGGGCCCATCACCGCGCGCGCTGCTGCTGCTGCTGCCAGACTTTTGCCACGCCGCGGCGCCCTGCAAGGCGCCGGCCATCAATCCGTAAAAGTCGCCGGCCGGGACAGCGAGCCCCTGGCCCGCGGCGGGCAGGTTGAAGCGGGAGAAGAGGTTCTGGGCATAGGAGCCGGCAGCGGCACCAGCGGCGCCGGCGCGCGAGGGCGGCGGGGTGGGCTCGCGGGGCGGCAGGCCGAGGACGTTGACCTTGAGGAACTCGATGGCCTGCTTGAGGTAGTTGAGGCCGGCGCGCTTGGCATTGTCGTGGGCCTCGCTGATGAAGCGGTCGATTTCGGCCTCGTGCTCGGCCAGGAACGGGTGGACGTAGGTCGTGTACAGGTGCGGCGCGCCCTCTGCTCCTGGGGCTACCAGGTAGCAGTAGGCGCCGAAGCGCACCCAGGCGTAAAAGGGCAGCCAGTCGACGGCCCAGCCGGCGTAGGCCTCAGTGGTTTGGGCGATGGTGAAGACGACCCAGTACATGAGCCATGGGGTCAGTTGGGCCGGATCGCGTGTCCGCAGGGCCTTGTAGGAGGCGAAGATGGGGAAGAGGGTGGATACTCCGGTGCTGTTTGGAGCTCTGTCAGCATCGACTCCTGGATCCTGAGGTATCGGGGGTTGAGGCGTGAGGGGCAGGCAGATGGACCCGACCCGACGTACGTGAGGAGATTGGGGAAGACGTCGAATATTCCGAGAAACATGGTTGCAGGATCCCGAGCGGCGATGGGCGGGAGGTGTTGGGAGCAGCGTCGGGACGAGGTGTCGAGGTGGAGGAGTGGGAGGAGGAGTAGACAAAGATTGAGTGCCTGAAGGCTACCTGAGCCTTGGGTGACGACGATTGTGCCGCTCGAAGATCAGTGTGCATGGCCATCCCCTCGCTCACCGCCCGCTTGCAGCTGGACCTGGACCGGAGCTTCGGCACGGCCATGAACGGCGGCTGCCCTCCCCTCCTCTGCGACAACGTCACAATCGGGATCAGACATATGGCGAGCTCATGTCGACTACACCTCAGCTCTCCATCGCAACCTCGTTGCCTTCCAGCTCGTCCATTCAACCCTGGCCTGACTGTTCCGTACTGTTACCGCCATGCTCCCAGTCAGCCGACGCTACGCGCATCCACTGTCTCAACAGGGATAGCGTGTCTGCCATGACCATGTATTCTTGGGAACAGACGCTTTCTGCGACACTGTCGCCTGCGGCTCTTTGACGACGACTGATCATCCAAAACCACGAGGCCGTCTGTCACTCATCCGCCGGCATCTATGTGGCATCACGGCATAGGTCTTGCTGCACTGGACGACGGCTACAGCCCGCAGCAGCTGAAAGCCCGAGGTGCTTCCACGTCACGAGCAATGCCAACTGAACCTTGGACGCGCCCTCAACCAGTCCACCTACGTTACCTGCACATACTCGACCTGCTCATGTGAGGGTCTGCCCACGACGCCGCTCACTCTCCTTTATAATCCTTTGACCTCGTTTCGTTTTGGCGCCGTCTTCCTACTGTCCTTGTCCAACGCCCAAGGTCACCAGGCACACTAGCTCTCCACCACCCGACTACGTCGGTTCGCATGCCGTAATGTGTATCGCCATTGTGACGACCGCACATCCAGACTACCCCTTTATCCTCTTAAACAACCGCGACGTACGCCCACTCGCACTCCTCTCCTGCCCCTCGACTCCAGTTCTGACTGATTGCAGGAGTACCTTCGCCGCCCCACCGCTCCGGCCCAATGGTGGGCGCCTCCACATGACCACGTTCTTGGTGGCTACGACCTGCACCGCCCCGCGCACGGCACCTGGTTGGGAATCACCCGCCAGGGTCGTCTAGCCGTCCTGACCAACTTCCGTGAGGAGGGCGTCGTCATTTGTGAGGAAAAGAGCCGCGGCGCCATTCCCAATGCGTGGTTGAAGCTGCCACCCACCTCGACCGAGACGACGGCCGACTTTGGCCAGCGACTGGTCGAGGAAGAGCAGGTCAAGGGCGTCGGTGGCTTCAGTCTACTGTACGGCCGTCTCCAAGACGTTGTTCAGAAGCGTCACGAAGACGGTCATGTCAATGGCGCAAATAGCAGTGGTTCAAAGCACCGCAAAGGTCTCGCCATCCTCTCCAACCGCACGCCCGACGTCCACGGCCTGATTTGGGTCGCCGGCGAGCCGGGCGAGACTCACGCCCTCAGCAACTCGCATTACGGCGACAACTCTTGGCCCAAGATTGTGCGCGGCAAGGAAGCCACCAAAGCCGCCGTCGAAGCCAGCGTGGCTGCGGGCGAGACGCGCGACCAGCTGCTCGAGCGCCTCTTTGGAGTGCTCAGTCAAGACAGCTTGCCCAAACACCGGTCCGGCGAAGCTTGGGAGGTTTATCTGCGCCAACTGCGCAACAGCATCTTCATCCCAGACATTGGCCGCGAGGGTGACGGCATCGTGGCTAAGCCGACGGAGGAGATGTCCTTTGCAAAAAACGGAGATGAGACTGCGACGACCGCGGCCAGCGGTATCTACGGCACCCAGCGGCAGTCGCTAGTGCTGGTTGACCGCGACGGCAACGTCACGTTTGTCGAGAGATCTTTGTTTGATGCACAGGGCAGACCCATTGAGAGGGGCAAGGGGGACCAGAAGTTTGAATTCCAAATTGAGGGATGGTGATGCTGACACTTTGGAGTTGAGGAGTGGGTCATTATCGACGATACCTCTCGGAGCGTCAGTACAGCACAGCACAGCAGGCGCATGGATGCATGGTTGGATTGCCCTTTGGCTGAGTCGGTGCCCAACTGGATCTTTGGTATTCTCAGTTGTCTTGTGTAGAATGGCCTGCCACGTCCAAAGTGGTACAGAACAGACGTGCAGTGCAGTATGCATGCCGGCAGCGGCAGCAGGCACACTGACACTGCATCAGCATACTCTTCTTACCGCCAAACCCTTCTCAGATAATGTACAAAGCTCTCGCCAACTCTCCACTTTGACAGTTGGCATTTTCTGGCTGGTGATATTGGGACCTTGACCACTTTGAGGCTTTTAAACAACAGCAGCACTGAGTAAAGCAAGCTTACGCATCTCTTGCCCCGGTCTCCTCTTATCTCAAAGGATACCCACAGCGGCCCCAGCACGTAGCCGAGCTTGCCTTCGACTCATGTATGATGATTTGCGTGGATGTACGTGGAATCCTTTGCTTACGCTTCACCGCTGCTCCGTACGCTTCCTACGCGGCGCCAGTTAGCCAGCCAGCCAGCCAGCCAGCCAGCCAGCTGTTGATAGATTGTCATGACTCCATCCGTTCACTCACCTACATGCATGTGTCCTCTATCCAGCATGGATAGCCGTAAAAGCATAGCCTAGAGAACCACTGACAAACTACACGTACCTACAATCACGTACCATCACGAGAAGCTGCATGCGCCTCTCCGCAACCAAGTCCCGCCGAACCGTGTCGATATAACGCAAAAACGCCGCTTCCCCTCCAACAACAAGCGGGAGTGGCCTAGTGGTTAAGGCGCTGCTTTCCCATCATTTGGTTTCGCCTCTAAGCGAAAGAGACAAGCAGAAACCGCGAGGTAAGTGCCCGCCTTCCGGATGGGGATGAATGTCGGCTAACGGGCGCTCTACAGTTCGAATCTTGCCTTCCGCACATCTTTTTTGGCTTTCCAAGATCTTGCCGGAAGGCTTGAGTGTTGCCGGGGGGGGGTTCTTTTTCTCTCTTTTCGCGCGGATTATCGTTTTGGGGTTTGGGATAACGGGAGGTCCAAAAGCTACAGACAAGTGAGCCACGGCGGGAGTAGAGAAGCATACAGACGGTAAATCAGGGCCAACCGCAAGGACAGCTGCTTCTTTCCGTTGTCTCGTAGATGAGGCCATCACCAGGAGAGGGAATGTTTGGTAGTCTTTGGAGGCATTCCATTTGGTTTTTTTGGTACGCCGTTTGATCCAATGGCGATGACGGACGACGTTTTTCTTCATCTTCCTCCTCCTCTAATGCAGTATATCTGTTAAGACCCCTTTTGAGTTTCGCGGCCCAGGTACAAAGCTCTTCACATCCTATCGAGCAGTCCTCGCCTTTTCTCAAGTCTCTTACGTCGTGGCAATCGAGCCCAAAAAATGGGATAGCAACGTCCCCCTCACGTCGCACCCTCTCGTAATCCTCTACTCCCTCTGCAGCACAACCGTCAAGCCCATCAAGCCCAGCATGACCGTCTTCAACCACGGGTACTCGCTAAGCAGGATCGTTACGTATCCGACCCACGGGATGAAGCCAAATACGCTGCCAATGACGTCCTTTTCGCGGTTCAAAAACGACTGGCCGCGCGCGTACAGCTCCGTGTCGTCGGCGACGTTGTTGTCGCCCTTGGTCAACAGGCGCAGAGGGTTGGGTCTAGGGGTGTGTCAGTTCATGGTCCTCAAGCCAGCCGACTCCAATCCTCCACTGCTTCTTCCCCAACATGTTCCTCTCCATCTTCCGACGTCTCCGCAGCGACCCAAGGAAACAAGGAAAGCAAGACCGACTCACCCTCCTCCGAACCTCCTCACGACGCGATGCACAATCGGAATGTCCTTGCCGCGCACATTGTACACGACGACCTCGCCAATCCGCGTGTCCATGGCCCGATTCCACAGGAACAGCAGGTCGCCGCGCTGGAACGCCGGCTCCATGCTGCCCGACAGCACCACGACGATCGGCGACGGCGAGTTGGTGGCCACCGACAGCCCCTTCCACAGCATGAACGCCGTGCTGAGCACCAGCGCGAAGTTGAGGATCTGCGCCGCAATCTGCCGCGGCTGCAGCCCCGCGAGCGGTCCGAGCAGGTCGTTGAGCATCGTGGCCTCGTTGCCGTGGTTTGCTTTCGTGTCGTCGCCGGGGGCGGTACGCGCGCGTTCGTTGCGATGGAAGAGGCGACTAGTCGGGCAGAGATGCGTGGGCCAAAACTTCGCGAGTGGATGTACGGAGCTGCTCGGTGCGCAGGTGTATTGGTAGATTGGTGTGTCTTGTTTGTTCGGCCAGCACGGCCGTCAACGTCGTGGAATTGATGAAGCCAGGTGTTGACAAGGGTAGCTCGGTACAGAGGTAGGTGCGCAGGGCAGCGCGTGTTGTGCCTGCAGGAAGACTACTGCAGGTAGGCGAAGCCTGGGGGGCCAAGACTGATGATAGTAATTAGACCTGCCTAATTGGCTATAGTGCTATCCTACTTACTAAGAAGGGTATAGTAGGTATAGGGTCCCATCCTATATTTTAGTAGCTAGACTATCTATCAATTAATAATTCATTTATTATTACTAAGTTATAATAGGTTATAAGCCCAGGTTAATTTATTACTACCCCTTATACTATTTAGAGCACTTATTTCTAACTTAAACTTTACTTATTCTTATCTAATTAATTAACTCTCCTACCTATAAGAATAATTAAATTAAAAATAATAATACCCTCTAATAAAGAAGAACCTATAAGGGTAGTCCTAAAAAAGGATATTCTATTCTTAGCTTAGAAAACTAGACTATAGGCTAAGCTATTTAAAAAGTAAGTCCTTAGTTATATCTTCTATAATATACTAGGAATCAGACCTTATACTTATCCCTAACTACTAGCTAAACTAGTAGATAATACTAATATTACTATATAGCAGGAAGTTAATTACCTAGCTAAAATCTATACTAATAACTTAGAGGACTAGATCATAAATAATAGGATTACTATAAATATTATTCTTATTTAGCTTAATAATTCAATTAAGCTACTATATAATAAACACACCACTATAAAGGATCTCTATAACTATATAATCCATATATTTAAGCCTTCATTATCTCTTCTATATATTAAAGCCATTAATAAGCTTCTCTTAACTTAATTCTTATTAGATATAGATAAATATATTAATACCTTCTCCTAGAACCTTAAAACCATTAAAAATACTACACACCTAATTAGCCCTAATAAAGATTAGACTATACCTTATCTAATTCTATTAGGCCTTACTATAGTCCTTTTTATAAAAGGTATAGCAGGTATAGACTAGCTTAGCTCCTAGTATAATATAAAAGCAGTCAAGGAAGAAGGGTATACTATAATTAATATAATAATAAAGACCCTTAGAGAGGCTGCTAGTAGATATAAGCTTAATTAAGGCACTTCTTTAGCTATATTAGCTAAGGGTAAATTAACTAGTAAAACAACTAGTAACAAACCCTAAGACCTATATAACTAATATAAAAAGAAGACGCACACTAACTAGAAGTACTATAAATAGCACCCTAATAAGGTACCTAAGAGCTAGAAGAGCTATAATAGTAATAAAATAGTTATAGTAAGTAATAATAAGAGAAGTTATAAGAGTAAGGGTAGAAATAAGGGTACTACTACTAAAGATAGTAACTCTAATAAGGAGGAGAGTAAAGGTAAAGATAAAGAGTTATATATAAGCTTAGTAGCTATCTATAAAATAGTCTATATATTAGTAAAGATAGATAAATAGTTACTCCTTTAGGATACTAGATCCTCTTACTATTTTATTAAGATAAAGTAGTTATTTATAAGCCTAGAGAAGATAGCTAAACTACTTAAATTTAATCAAGCTATTAGCACCACCTTAATCAAGTATTATAGAATAGCTATAATTAAGCTTAGCCATAGTATACTTAAGCTTATTAATACCCTTTACTCACTAAACTCCTCCTATAACATTATCTTAGCTAGATATTTAGAATACCTTATAAAACTCACTTAATATAATAACCTTATTATCCTATAAGATGGCACCCTATTTGCCCACCTCATAAAACAGAGTAACATATACTTTATTAAATCCCTTTAAAGTAACTAAGTTAATAAGTAATACCTACAGATCACCACCCCAGCATATACATAGGTTCCTTAAACCTTAAATACAGACTAGTAGCATTAGTACCTAGGGCATATTAAAGAGAAGATCTTTAAGAAGACCACTATAAACTTAGCAGGTCTAAAGGGTATAGACTTTAGTAAACTTACTATTTACTAGATATATCACCTAAGTAAAGCATAGTAATACATCTTATAAGAACTAAGACCAATACTAAATAAGCTACTTAATAAAATACACATTAATATGGTTAGACTACTTAATACTACTATCTTTACTAGGCACACCTATCTTATCATCCTTACTAATACCTATACTAGGTTCTACTAGACTATCACAACAGCTAGTAAGGATACTATTATACTATAGATATATTAATAAATCACCTTTATAGAATATTAGTATAGTAAGTAGATATAAATAATCTTTAGGGATAGTAGTTTAGAGTTCCTTATACTAAAAAACTACTATAATAAGTATAGTATCTAAACAGATATTGTTGAGGGGAGTAATATAAAGATAGTAGATATCTTTATTATTCACCTCTGGATGGGTTTATAGTAGAGAACTTAGTAGATTCTTTACTATAAGAGTTCTTCCTTGGAGGACTAACTACTAGCTACCTAAGGACCTTTATATAATAGAGCCTTTAGTATTCTAGAGGTTTCTTCCTCTAGTATATTATTAATTAGGCTCCTAATACTAGAAAGAGATTTATAATTAATCTGGTCTAGAAGATTCTAGCCTTAGTAATAAGATAATCTAGGCTAAGGTCTAGAATCTTAAGGAACCCATAGGAATAAGTTAATTTATAATAGTAGAAGTCTATAAAATAGCCTAGTGTCTTTAGGCTTATTCTTAGGCTTCTAACACCCCCCCTAACTTATTACGCAGGGTAATAGCTAGGAACTTAGTTAAGAGAGCCTTATTTACTACCTTAGTTAAGGCATCTGCAGGCATCTCTTTAGTAGGAATATAGGAGAACTTAATAAGTTTCTCCTTAACTAATTCCCTTAGGAAGTGATACCTTATGTCTATATTTTTAGACTTTTTAGTGGCATCTTCTGTAGCATTTATAGCAGGAATATTATCTCCTTTTAGGCTTATAGGAGTAGGTAGTAATTCTTTAAAACCTAACTCCTCTATAAAGCCTTTTATATAGAGAATAACCTTAGCTAGTATACTATAGCCTATATATTCAGCCTCCATAGTAGATATAGAGACGTAGGCTAATTTACTAGCTTTCCACGCTATAGGCCCACTAGTAGAGTATATAATATAGGCAGCTAGAGAATGTCTATTAAGTTCATTCCCTAAGTTAGAGTCTGAATAGGACTCTAGATTAAAACTAGTACCAGTATAGGTAATAGTATAATCTTTAGTTCCTTTTAAATAGGATAAGACTCTTTTAGCTGCTTTTAGATGTTCTTCTAGTGGGCAGCTTAAATACTGGCTTAAAGAAGCTAGTATATAAGCTATATCAGGCCTAGTATATACCATGGCGTATATAAGGGAACCTATTAAAGATCTATATTCTTTAATAAGGTCCTTACTAGCCTGGTATCCCTGGGGAGGTCTAGGTAACTCCTTATACAAATAAGGGGTCTTAGAAGGGGGTATAGATCTTAGAGAAAAATTCTCTAAGACTTTATTAAGATACCCTTCTTGAGATAGTGATATAGTCTTCTTAAACCTATCCCGGGTAATATTAATTCCTAAGTAATAGGAAATAGGCCCTAGG